CTTAAACCCTAAACCCTAAAGCCGTGACCAGCAGGGCAGGCGACCGCGCGGCGGTTCCGCGGCTCCGTGTGTGGCCAACAAGAATCACTTAAGCTAAAGGGGCCTGAATAAAAGTCCCTAACCCCCCAGGTACCTACTATATAGGGCCCTAGGGGCTCTATAATACCCTATATAGTAGGTACACGGAGGGTTAGGGAGTTACCGATACTATTTTGGAGGTTCCTTGTTATGATTATAGTATAATGGGCCCAAAACCCCATTCTAATTATGAAGGCCCCTGTAACCTGTATCATATTCTTTCCACAGTCCCGCTTCGGACACAGTTCTGTTTAAAATCCAACATTCAGGCCGAAACACCTGAGTCAGCGACGGTCCCCTGCGTTTCTGCGTCGCGACGTCGTACTCTCACAACACTGCCGTATCTGCGTTGCCAATCCTGCTCCAGAAAGTGCGGTATGCTGTCTGGGGTCACAGGGCGGTCGAGAGGTCAGGGGTTCTCCTGACACGAGTGTTGCTATGTAATTAGGGCTTCGACTGCGAGGTGCGTCTTGACTGTTTGGGGTCTCCCTGACACAAGCAGTATTTCGAGTTCCTATATATCTAGACCCTAGACTTGTTCATAAGACTTACAGTAGAAGCCCAAAAGTTGGAAACGCCCCATCCTTAAGACTAATGTATAGGGAATCCCAGCACCATTTGGCCTTAATCCGGCTACGAATTTTCTGGGGGTTGCTATATCTTAGCCTGAAGCCAACTGCTTTGCATACCAGGCGGCGGCGTCCGTTCACCGGGACTTCGCCGGACACGGCAGACGGCAGTGTGGAAGAAATGGGTCTCAATCGTCGTGTAGGTAGGGCTTCCAGTGTGCGATAAGGTTTGTGATGCTGTATGTGTGTTATAGCGTGTATAAATGCCTTGCACCAGTCAATGACGAGCTCGATATTTCTACTGTAGTTGGTTTAGGCTGCGGTGAGACGCCTTCATTTGGACATGCACTTGCTTGTGTCTGTGTCATGCACTTCCATAAACCCTGAGATGTTTTTCAGCTGTAAATCGTGCAATGCAGCAAATGCCTTGCCTGTGTCACGCATGTTCATGTCATAAACCCTGAGACGTTGTAGCTGTGAATGGTGCCATGCAGCCATGTTGGAATGCCATACTTACTCTGGCTTTAGGACTAGCCTTTCTTTATTGGTCAGTGACCAGCCTTCCCTGCTACCGAATGGGGAATCGTGCATCATCATCATCATCATCACGATCATGATCCGTCCAAGCCACAGCTACGGAAGGACTGGGAGGAAGAGACGCTTTTGATGACTGTGAAATTTTACGGCCTGCAATAAGACCTCAGTGTTATGCACAACAGTGGTCGTCTGATGGAGACTTCCAAAGAACAACGGAGGTTCCGGGTCCAATCCGGATGATCCAGGGAAACCGCCTCAATACTGTACAGTAGGTTGCGAACATGCATACATGCATGCATGCATGCATACAGCTGCTTGATGCACTTCTGGTTCAAGGCTCACCTCAGCAGTGATGGGACCGCATTTGCAGAGGTCTTTTGGTGCCCTCGAGAACAACCCCAAGAAGAGTAGACATCCGGAAGGTATAGCATTCAATCGCAGATCGGGACTGCTACTAAGATCGGTACCCCTGTTTCCAACGAAGAATGTCCAACTTGGCCTCGTTCCAGATGGAGCCAGCAACGCCCGCTCCGAGGAAACTGGGCTGTAGGAGTTGTGATGTAGAGCTGGTTTGGGGCTTAGGGTTTAAAGTTTAGGTTGCGGCATCGGTAGAAGGAATCGGAGGTAGGAGGTATGGCGTAAGGCTCAGCACAGAAGCATTACCTTGCTGACGTACGCTCGCCTAGAAAGCGCAGGCATTCAGATCGATGTCAGATCGTGTTGCATTGAAGCCTCACTATGCCCCGGAACCCTAACCCTGCCCCAACAACCCACCTGGCCATCCCGGGCCCTGGATCTAGCACTGCCTGGCCGATTCTAAAAAAGCAGGCCTTCATCCAGGCCCTACACTCCTCAGCCTATAATGATAATGATATAGACTGATACCAATACTGTATAAGTCTTACAAGCTACGACACGGTTTAACAAATATCCTGAAGCTGTGGTGCTGCAAGACCGTGATGACACGGGACACGATGGCTCCCGCTGCTACTTCAAGACTTCTGCCCCTACCTTTCCTACAGCCGTAAACCCTAAACCCTACACCCTAAACCGTACGGCAGATGTCGAGGCCTCCGATGCCCACGGTGCACATTCTGCCGGATCCACCCTCGAAATGGGCGGTCTTCACGACGGTGCGACTTGGCGCAAAAGCCTTGCAGGAAACCTATAGCGGTTTATGCATGCTGGGACCTTCTAGGCCGGCAATTTGTGTTTGCACCACCTTGTGGCAGCTGGAAGTGTAGGACCGTCCCATGGTTTAAGACTTCCGAGTAGTTTTCAATCTGCTTCTTGGGCTAGCTTTCAAATTTCTGGGGCTTGGAAGGTCCGGGTACCAGGGCATCACTCTCTCTCTCTCTCGCTCTCTCTCTCTCTCCCTCCCTCCCTTGCAGCGTCTCTTTCCGCACGTCTTTGAGCGGCTGCGGGTGTATATCTCTGCCTCTGTCAGTGTTCCTAGTTCCGTGTCTTCCGCCTGGTGCGAAGCGTGTGCAAGCCGAAGCACCCGAAACCTAGGACCCAAGTCTGGGGTCCTAAGTCCTATATGGTCCTATAAGGCCCAAACCTCTAAGCTCTACACCCCAACCCTGCAAGTGTCCGGAAGCGTTCAGAGGAGGCACAGATCATCTGGCAAGAACCCGGGGCTCTCACAGCCCCAAACCTATGCAGATTTGCAGCAGAGAGTTTGCCGAGATTCGTCTCAGAGACCACCTATAACATCCTACAAGCTGATACCCCTTATGAACCCATGTGCTACCACTTATGAACCCCTTAATACATTTTTTTTATGATACCCCTCATTATGAACTTTGTATAAAACCAAGCAGTACCCCTTCTGAACCTCTTTCAACACCTTGCTATGCTAATGGAAACTACAGGTGGGAGTTTAGGGTATATAGGGCTTCTACAAGGCTTCCATAAGGTATATAGACCTTCTATAAGGTTCCTACACCGGTAACTACTCACCTGAAAAAATGCCCTAGACTATAACTCAGGCACAGAATCCTCAGCTATTAAACTGAGGCCCTGCCCCTGCCTGTAGGCTGCAGAGGGGTACCTGCAAGGACGGCGAGTCAGCGCAAGCAGTAAGCAGATTTAGTTGTTCGGTTTATGGCCATTAAAGGTAGCTCTTTCGGAGCAGAATTAAAACTCCTCTCCAACTACTGAAAACTGTACTGACAGCTGCCCATGAAACTCGCCCGGTTTCGATTGAGAAGGGTCTTTTCTTCGCCTGCAGCCAGAAGGCGTGCCCAGCCGAGGTTGAGCAAGCACCTCTACGTTGCTCGCAAGCGGCATCTGAGATGAACATGGTAAAGGATTTGGAGTGTAGGAGTTTAGAGTTTGAGGGTTACGAGTTTAAGGGGTTTGGGTGTTTTGACTCGTACCCACCACTTTTTCCTTTCCTGGCCTGCCGCGTACAGTGGGGGCTGCAAATAAAGCCTGCAGCGTTTCATGATGGCAATGCCGTTACAGTCCCAGCCATTCGGGAGACAAATCAAAACTACAACCCTCAACTTTTCAGACATTCATTGGAGCTAGAACTTGGTCCCGTGCGTCCTGGAGCTGGACTGTTTTGCTGAACCCTATCTGTCCCTCGAACAAAGATTACCTGCGTACCTCAGATGTCTGTGGAGCTTCTGCAGGATCACCCGTTTTTGAGTTTAGGGTTTAGGGTTTAGGGTCGGATGCACAACTATCGAGATGGAGAGGTCCATGAAGCTGGAGGATACTGTTGTTCCAACTGTCCTGCTTGAGAAATCCAAAGCGAGCAAGGTGCCACCACAGTGTTAGGGGGGCATTAAGTTCCGGGTAGCTTAGAGTTTGAGCTCTTTAAACATGGCGAGGGGGGAGGCTGCTAAGGTTGACCTAGCAAGCTCTTACCAGCTCTGTAGCTTCGCAGCCAGGATTCTGAGTTGATTCCCTGTCTCCTGCCGTGCCAAACTCAATACTCGGAAGTAGTTAGTTTTAGGCTCAGGTTTCTACTACCAACAACCGAAGTTTCGGAATAAATATACGGCTAAGGGGCCGGAGTCTTGAACGCTACGTCATAACGAACACAGGGAGCCAGCAGCACAGACAAATTCCTATCTGCAACCTGTACTTTTACCGAAGACTATGCAAAAGAAGATTGACAATGGTTGATGCCGGATATGATCATACGCAGATAGCCAGTCGGACAACTTTCTCAGCTTTTAGACAATAAACTCTCTCTCTCTCTCTCTATATATATATATACATACACCAAGTCTATCTTAACGAGGCCGAAATTTTTCGGGCCTGGTTATTGAAGAAGAGAATATAGTTGGCTCCAGAAACACAGAGGGAGACGCATGCCCGACGCACCACTTCAGCTGGTTTGGCCCCGCGAGCTTCCTTGGATTCCTCAGGAAGCGACTTCTGACGAGCGTCTGGCCTGCCTTGTTGTACGGGGTCCTGTCGGTGGTCTTCTTCCACGTCATCTGGCTGGCAATTGGTCATGAAAGTAGCAGTCGTACAGATGAGACAACCGTTAGCATGATGGTCTAATTCTATCGCTAGATAGCACTACGGTGATATGCCCTATGGCGTGTTTCAACGCATTTTCTCTCGGAGCTCTGGAAAGTTCTGTAGCGACGCTAGAGCGGTAAGCACGTCTGCTTTATCACTGCTCTGCCGTGCTGGTTGCATCCATTGTCACAACGGGTGTTGAATTGATACTTGGATGCGGTGATCGTAGCAATGTAGCAACAACAATACTTAGCAGGTTTCAGCGGTAATTGCACGGAATCAGCTCGGATTGAGTCTCGACCTCTTCAGGTCTTTGCGGATCTTCCCGCGGACATGGGTGCAATATTCATGGCCATTATGATCCCGCTCTACATGGGCTTTGCTGCGCCTTGGCACCTAAGAAACAGAAGGCGTGGTTCTTATCCAGGCATTTTCAGCCCAACAGACGTCGTTGTAAAAGGTCCTCAGGTGAAGTTTTTGTTATGGCTTTGTTGTTATGGCTTTGAAATATGGGAAAGCATGCCTAACTCCTGGTCATCCTCTTGAACTGCAGTATGGTGCGATTGGGAGCTCCCTGCTTCGACACATGAGTACCAGCTCCCAATCAGAAATTCCTGATTAAATTTGCGAGTAGAGCTTCGGAATCGGATTTTTTGGAAAGGGTCCGGGGACGTTGCAGCGGACGATGGTGCGGTGGCTATTTGCAGCAATTTGTGAATGGAACACTGGATCCGGCTTTGAGGGCTGAGGTGCTGGGGCTTGGGGTTTTGGATTTATGGGGCAACATGGGCGACGTACTTGGCAGTCCTCACAAAGCCCGAAGCCAGCAGAGCCCAGCCAGCCACCAGCCCTGAAAGCCGCGGTCGAGAGGTACAATCTGCGCTGACTTGTGCTATCATCGAAGTCGTCAATGAGAAAGAGTCCAAGATGAAGGCAGACAGTAAGGGTTTCGGGTTGCGGGCTGGGGGCTTCTTGTTCGGAATCTCCAAGCCGTGGTGTTTCAAGCTGTTTGGATGTATTGTAAATAATCCGTTTCTGTATTATGGTAACTTAAAGCCAAGTTTTTCAACAAGAACCCAGGCTATGCACACTGAAGCTCTGACCTCTGACTGGACAACAGCACTGGTAGTCAACAGTCGAACCAGGATGTGGTCCTAAGCCCTAAAAGCTCGGGATTGAGGTGGGGAAGGTGGGGATGTGGCGGGTGTAGTGAGTCGCCGTAGTCGCAGTTTTTTTTGGTAGTGGCAGTAGTAGTCGATGTATCAGTGGCAGTGGCGTGGTGGAGGTAGTGGTAGTTAATCAAAAGCTGGCGAACTGATTCAGCAAAGGACTGGCTCTGCATTGTGTGGTGCGGGGGGTTTGGGGGTGCAGGTCTTTCGGGGCTTCAGAAGCATCGTGGAGGTGAGGGTGTGGTGGGGGGTTTGGTGGAGACCGTGCTGGGAGTGTGTTTGTGGAGGGGAAGTGGAAGAGAAGGGGGAGGTGGGGCCCTGAACGGGGGGGGGCTGAGCGGGCCTTGGCACTTGCTCGCAAGTCTACGGGTCTTTAGCGATTCTTCACCAAAATTTCGCCCCGTTCCCCCAGCCCCCGAAACCCTCCAACATCCTGACCGGGGGAGCCCCAGAGCGTGGCACTTTCGGACTTCCTGCAATCTTGCAGGCCTGCGCCACTGCAAGAGTTCACCGATTCAGGGCCTGTGCAGTAGAGCTTAGCGGGTCTACAGCCAGTAGGACCCGTGGCTGCCTCTAATCCGAAGTGCATTGCAGCGAGTATGTGATCACGAAGAAGGTGACGGCACAGAAGGCAATAAATGACGGTGTATAGCTCCACGGTTCTATTGCTCATCTTGTCCCCACATGCCTTGCTTTCAGTTGCCAGTAATATAGAGGCTTCAACAAGTACCAACATTGTTCCGGGGTTCCGAAAAATAACTATATAGAATAAAGGAGGCCACAACCCTATTGTAACTATTGTACGGTCTCTACATTATGTGACACAAAGAGCAGCGATCTGACAAAAGCAGGAGCAGAGCAAGTGACCTGGGCTACACCGGGACCTAATGTCACAACTTGAAGAAGTAACAACTTGCGAAGCTTAGACGCTTGACTCTGATGTGCTCCCTATGTATTAAACTTCGGTTGCTCTATTGGGGTTGGCGAGGGTTGGGAAGGTAGGGGTAGAGTAGAGCTCTTCGCGCTTGAGGCTTTAAACCTTGAAGAGTATGAATGGCGGTTCCATTGCATGGGAAACCTACGCCAGTCCCTTCATGCTTGATTTTTGGCTTCTCTTGGGGTTGAGGGCCGAAACCCCTTATACCATCCACGTCCAACTTGTCCCCCGCCCTGCAAGGTGACCCAGGAAATCTACGGCCTAACGCCGCTGATGTATTGGGTCTCCTGGGCAGGCTACTTCGGCATCGTTTCGCTCGTGTGCCTCGGGCTATGTTATGGGGTTTACCAAGTTTTCGCTGAATTTAGGGTCTTCCTGCCTGTCTAAGCGCACCTCGCCTTCGTCTTCCCACAGACGGAAGCTGCTCTGCAAGAGCCGCCAAGGTGCATGGTGGCGCTCTATTGCTCCTCGGAGTGTTTCGGGGTGCCCAGATCTAGCCTTGAGGATTCGAAGGTGGTTTTCGAAGCAGCACTTCGCCGGACCTTCATTCGGCAAACCCCCTGGGTCTGGGAAAGTGGGTTATGCTACACATGTCACTGTCAGCATCCATTGCGATTGGTCCTGGTGCCATCGCGGCTTTTCGGATCAAATGATTGCATTGGTGTTCTTGTCTCTTTGGTGGCAACATATTCGGAATGTGATGTGGTTTGTTTGAGACAGAGATGATGACGCTAGTGGTAATAACAGCTGGTGTCGCTGCTGTACTGTTGTTAACAATGGTCCTGTCAGTGTACTTAGTATGCCTGTTGTCTGCATTGTGCCGGCCAGCAGGTTGTCGATTGCAAACGATGGTAATGCTGACAACCCATGTCAGCAGCGCGTCAGCTGTGCTACCCTTCTTCGTGGGAAGAAAACTGTTGTTGCATGAAGCATAATTGCATCAGAGTTGTCCTCTAATTGCTTAGGACATCGAATGGCCTACAAAGTTGTATGTTGTGTTGACCATCTCTTTGCCGCCCAAGGAGGACCTGTGTCCAACATTTTTCGCACAACAACGACGAGTTGACATGCTACGCTTCTACTGGAAATTATGCACTTACTTCAGTTGCGGCATCATCATACCCAAAACTGCATGCCTTGATGCAAAGCCAGTCCCGGCAACCAAGCAAGTTGTAAGGACATGCGAATCCAGGTGGCAACACTAGGAAAATTATCCTCTAAGAAAGGTGGTGAGCTACAGCTGTGATAGCATTTCCGCCATGCAGTTACGTGGTCAACTTCAGGCAAGTATTGAGCGAACATGTGTTCAGCGGCATCTAGTCTTTGCCAAGTATTCTGTCAGCATGACTCAGTGAAGCCAAGACTTGTCTACATATCTGTGCGATGTCTACTCGATGTTCAGCATTGCAGTACGTGTATAGCTATGTCTGATTGAATCTTTATCAATGATGAACCTGGGATCAGTCGAGTTAGTATGTGATGAGTACTCGAAGCAATGTTTGATGGGCATATAGCAAGTACCCAAAGCACCAAATTTTGGAGAAATGCGAAGCCAGCTTCGATTTATACAATGAATATTTATTAGGAACTATATCATCCGTAAATGACACTTAGCCACTTGGTTGATGCTTAGTACGGACATAGTTAGTACGTCTTCGTCATGTTAAACTGGTGTCTTTGCCAACTGGCCAGGAATCAGGCTTTGTATGTGTATGTGGTGTGCGTATAATACGATATACACTTATATATATATACACACATATATATATATGTATGTATGTATGTATGTATGTATGTATGTATGTGTGTATATATATATGTATATATATATATATATTCATAATATATATATACACACATATATATATATATTTGTATAGATGTGTGTGTGTGTGTGTTTGTTGTCACGACTGTATGTGTAGTATAATCTTCCCCAAAGCCCTATTTTCGTCATGCAGGCCCCTCTATGACTGCCCTGCTACTAAGGTTTGTTTACCCTCGCTGCGCCGGTGGTTTCAAATTCAAACCCGCTCTTCGTGCTTTTCGTGATGGCACTGTCGCTTGGCCGTTGTTTTCAAAGAGAGCTACACCGAGCAATAGGACCCGACCGGTTCTAAATCACAATGCCAGACCCGATAAACCCTATGCCCTTAACCGGATAGCCCGCAACCCTGTAACTCTAAGCCCTAAACCATACACAGCAACAAGCCCGTAAACCTCAACACTTAGCCCTGTACGTAACTCACCGAACCTGAAGCGACCAACCAGATCCTGAATTCAGCTCCTTAGTACGTTTTTTTGGGGCTGTTGAGCCATGCACTACAAACTCCACACTTTCAACTTTAAGCTCAACCGGCTAACTTAAGGGGGTAGGGCTGCAGGAGTAGGAAAGGGTTTCTGAGAGGAGAACCACACACCCACCATGCACTTTCATGATGCAAGCGAGGTCGTACATGCAGCAACTGGAATTTGCTGCCATCATCGCCGTGTTCTTCAACAGGACCCAGGCGGCATCAAGCGCGGCCAGCTTCCCGGATCCGGATCTGGGAGTGACAGCTTCTAATGGTCGCGAAATACCAGCCCAAACCCTATCCTGAGCCTATGATTTCTATTGTGGGTCGAAAATGCCCTATGTTATATGAGGATTTTTGAGTTTTGTGTCGGGATGTTGCAAATTTGCCAGAAGTTTGCATGAAAGGAATTCTGTAAGAGCTGTTGGGGAACATGTTTCCCCGAAGCAGAGGGGGTTCTTGTACCTGCGCCGTAAAGGGATAGAGCCACTCCGGGGTTCCTCAGCTCCTGCTTTGCGAGCAGATGGGAGTTTCCGAAGCCAAGGGGTACCTTATTTTGAGGTCCTTATAATAGGGATCCTGCTATTTAGGGTACTATATTTGGGTCCCCTACTTTCGGAAACCCCCAGATGTGCCGGCCATTTCCCACGAGCATTTTGAGGTGGAAAATCGTGCTCAGATCGCGGCAGATGTTTGCAGTCCCAGCACCAACACATGGTTTTAGGGACCTAAGTGGATCCTCATTATAATTCCAATACGGTATACCCCAAAAATCCTGTAATGACTGTAATGTAGCCCAGCAGTCCGCAATCTACCCCAAAACTTTATATGCAAAGTTTCGTGTTTACGTTTCAGGGTTTTCTGGCTACCACACGGTGCTCTTTCATTGTTTGGCAGTGCCTTTTTCCAGGATGTTGCATTCCGCCACCCGCCTCCAAGGCCTTGCTACTGCTACTCATCCCAAACCCGTGGACCGCATACCCCTACTTCAACAACAATCAACCCTAAACCCTATATAGCAGAACCTGCAGTCTATCTATCAGAAGGGCCTTTCACATGGGGAGGCCTTTAGTTTTTTGCAGCCCGAAAGCGGCAATCGAAAAACCCTAAACACGAACAAGCCGGGACCCCAAAGCATCATCGTTGTCATCTTGGTCGTCGTGGTATCTTCGGGGTGTACATGGTGCATGGTCTTTCGCTTGGTGGGGTTCATCTTGGCATAGCGCGGTACAAAAATGGCAATCAATAGTCGAAGGAGTACAGAAGGGTTAAGTGGTAGGGCAATTATGTTTCGTCTTGCCAATGGCCATACAGCAGGTTTCAGAAACGACGAATGAACAGCAAATACAAGAGAATGAGAAACCCCACCATGGGAACCATACTTCTGGTCGAAATTCGAACAATCGTAAATAGGAAAAGTAGTTCTGGATATCCAGATGACCCTTATATAGTACTAAGTTGTTTAGAATGCCCACACCAGCAGCCGTACTCGTACCACCTACTGGTAAACCTTAAACCCAAAGTGCAGTCTCTCACTTATCCTGCCTAGCGACTCGTTCAGCAATGTGGCACAAACACCTGCGCCTCTCAACAGAGAGAGCCCTAAACCCTAAACCCTAAACCCTATCTGAGACTTCTTCGGCTTCATCCTCCTCCTCGCCGCGGTTGGGCTTCAAGGTCTTCTTCGAGGAGCGGGGGGATTTGAGGGGTTTCGGGTTTTGGGGTGAGGGCTGCTGGGGTTTGGGGTTTTGGGCTTAGGGGTTGGGGGTTTTGGGTTCCATGCGGATTTAGGAATGATACTGATTGCAGATGTTTTCGATTAGACGGATGCCCGTCGCATTTTTATGACCAGGCTTCACATGTCTTGACGGGTACCCTACACCTTGAAAGAGGGGCTGGCGGAACCAAGGGGAGCATCAGTGGGTTTGGAGGTCATTTTCCTGGATTCGTGCTTTGGCTCCCCTGGTTTACTAGGTAGGCCTTTTGGGATATTTGATATTTTTCCCCTATTGGGCTTAAGAGGGCCCCACTTGCTAATATTTTTCAGAGGCTTGAACGGGCCTCCCTGGTTTAACCTAACTCCAGATCCGGGGCCGGGGCCTCCCCACATGGCTGATCGTCAGGTATCAATGCGGAACTTCTCAAATTCGGGTTTTTTTTGGATCCCGACGGATCGTCCGACGGATCGTGCCATGTGAAAAAAAGGGGGTCTGGTATATGACTGCTGATCAGGTTAACAAAGCCTTCCAAGACCTTGCGTGCAGAGAGAATCGAGGTTTATGCACCAAACCGGAGGGCCCTATATCCCTCACGACTACAGATCGGATCCCAGGCGAAAAGCCGAAGACCCCGGGACAGTTTTGTTGCCTTAGACCGCCTTTTCCAGGAGATGGACTCCGCAACCTGTAAACCCCACACCTTCGCCTTCAGCCCCTAAACCCCCTAAGCCCTTAAACCCCCTTCAAATCACCAGCAAAGCTGTTTACAACTCCTAAACAACCCCTGCACCCCCCCGAAGCCAGGCGCACCGAAGATCTTGTGGTACCTCGCGGGACTCCTCCCAAGCGTCAACGTCTTCAATGGCTTCGCCGGCCTCTTTTGGAATGAGGCTTGGAGGTTTTGGGGGTGTCTTTGAGGCTTCTGTAAGGGTTCTTGAGGCTTCTGTAAGGGTTCCCATGATACTTTTGGGTCATGAACAGCAGTTTCTGGCGTTTCGGTTCTGCCTCGCCGGTGTCTTTTGGAGTGAGGCCTCGGGGGTTAGGGCCTGATGTTCTTTTAAGGGATTTAAAGGTTTAGGGGTTTAAGGTTCAGGGGTTTTTCAGGTGGGCTTTGAGTTTTGCTGGTCGAGGCTGCTGGGCTGTGGGGCTCTCGCTCGCTTAGAGCGCCGAAACCCCCCGTTCCAGCATGAAAGCTGAAGAGTCCATGAAGCCCAAGCCCTAATAGGGTTTAGGGTGTAGGGCCCCGTGTCCCAAGACCCGAGACGCCTTATGGCTCCAAGCCCGAAAGACTGGCCCTCCAGCACTGCAGTCTCTGAGCTGGTCGAAGTCATCTTATACCTCAACATAACCTATAGGCCTACAGTAGTCTATGTAGTCCATGGACCGTTGTTACGGTACTAGCTTCGATAAACTGATATCACTGCTGCTACTACTACGGTCCTCCTTTTATTTTCAGAACTGGCACCATCGCGCAAGGCACTCTACTACTGCGACGCGGAGGGCTGCACCAAGGGCCTCATCATGCGCTCCCTATTTGCCACCGAGCTTCTTGCATTCTATCTTGCCCAGGAAACCCATCATAAAATACGGTTTGGGAAACGGCCCTAAATCCTGAACTCTGAACTAGACCACAAGTGCTCACTTCAGGGGGGATAGGGAGTGAACCCTGGGGTTCTCTGTGGAGGCCGGGCAGCTCAGGGGCTCCACGATGCCGACATCTCAAACCTACAGCCTTGAACTTCCAGGCTTGAACTGCCCAGACCACTTTAAGCCCAGAGTTTAGAGCTACCAGGGAAGGGCCGTAGAGAGAGTTTTGGGCGGGTTTGGGGCTTCAATTGCAGCTGGCACCGTCAGTGCCTGCAAGTGTGAATTGCCACGCTCCTCCCAACATTAATCAAAAGCCAAAACGGTCCTAAAACTTAAATCGTAAGCAACCTAAACATCCCTGAACCCTCAACTCCCTGAGGCCAGACTAAGCCCAAAGCCCTGAACCCACGGTGCCGCTGTGAGGCTCTGCCCCGTAGCGACCTATCCGGACCCGTGCCCTGCTCACATTGAGATCTTCTCCGCGGGAGAGAGCATGCGCCTCGGCCTCCTGTAATCAATGGGTTGATTTCGGGCTTAAAGGCTTAGAGGCTTCTTGGGATTTGAAGGCTTGTGTTGGGGGTTCTGCTGAGGGGTCGGAGATGCCTTGTTTACTCCATGTACTACAGAACCGCAGGTTCCGGGGACGTCCTTCAGCAAAGTAAAAACGCTGCAGCAAGGCGTGATTAGCTCAAACTGCGTGCACGGCACGCCCCCGCTTACCCGTGAATACCTGCAGTGCTCCTCAAACCCCGAACCCGGACCTTGCCAAATCAACACCATCACAGCCTGCTTTGAACCCCACTCCTGCGCGTTCTCGAGGATCCTGATGCTGGTAGATGTGGTGCTCTATGCTGTCGTAGCCTGGTGGTTGGAACAGGCGCAAGGGGGGCTTTAGGCTTGGAATGAGGAGCCCCAGGGTTTCGTCTAGAAGTTAGGAGTTTTGTCTGCATTCCACAAGGTCCTATACGGGGTCAACTGTTTCCGAAAAAATATAGGGGCCGTAATAGTTAGAATGCGGTTTGGGGTATATTGTTTTCATGAATAGAATAAGGAACCCCAAACAATAGTATTGGTACTTCTGTAGGCCCCCATGGTATATCAGCTTACGACACCCTAAAACCCGAGGCCCCTTACCAAGAGCCCGGAAGGTTTCGAAATGAGACAAACCATTCTGAGCCTCGCATAACGAATGTTATTCAGGGTTTAGGTCGTAGGGTTTAGGGTTTAGAGTTTAGGGACATTTAGTGTTTGGGTTCAGGGGAGTTTGGGAATGGATGGAGACGTCTCTGCACTCGGTGTACGGAAGGATAGAGAGATTCGTAGCAACGAAACTAGGGCTAATCACATGGCGATTGCCAATAATACTTATGATCAGACCTCGACAAGCTATGAGCAGTAGCAACAATAGTCGCATGGTAAGACGGCTAGTTGAGGATCCCAACAAAAGACGACTTCCAACGATGATATTCGAAACGCAAGTACAATCTAAAGTCATACCTGTAGTACCACCCGTCAACCTCCCCCCCCCCCACCCAACTCAATAGTTGGTGGTTCCCAGATTCCCTCGCAGCTCGGATGAAATCGGATAGAACGGTCTTAGAAGGGAGGCTGCCGTCCAAAGAAAGTTGACGGCAAGGATCCAGAGTTGGGTGTACGACTCTGGTCTTGGTCTTAGGGCATTCGCAAGTGGGAGTTTGGAATCAGCATTTGCCGGAATGGGAGAGCCTTTGCCATTCCGTCACCTGGTCCTTTCAATGGTTTATGCTGGGAGTTTTGCGCCCCACGGCATCATCGGGGTTTGTGGGTGTGTTCGCTACGAGTCGTCAAGCCCAAGTCGAAGCTCAAGTCTTGGATGGAAATTGATGTTCACATTTGATAATAAACTTTAAATTCGAAACGAGCCCGTCACTTGGAATAATTGACGAAAGCCACAAGTGCCCTTGCCAGGTTTGGCAAGGCGAGTATGGACAAGCCAAGCCGTGTTTCTTCTGCTTTGACCCTGCCTTTATGTGCCCATCGCGGCATCGGCGGAACGCGGGTTTGTCTCTTGTTTCGATGTTTCTCAGGGTTTGAGGTTAAGAACGCAGGTCGGAGTTTTCGGTCCGTGTATTCTGGGATGAGGTCCCCCAAGACCCGTTGCTAAATACTAAGGCCCCCGTACTGTAGGGTTTAAGGCTCAAGGTTTGGAAGGTTCGCTTTTTGCACATGAGCTTCGTAGGCTGAGAATTTCACATCTGCCCACTTGCAAGTCCACTCACCAACCGCCTGTCATTGGACAAAAAAGTAAAAACGTAATTAGTCTTGTGTTATGATAGTAGGTTCTTATCGGCATACATACATGCATACACATTCTCGGAGGATGCACAAACCTCTACAACTTCACACACATGTTTAACGTTGCAACTCGCATGTACACCGACATCCGAGTAGATTGGTGCGCCGGCTCCACATTTTCCGAAGTTCCCCCACATTCTGAAACCTAGACCCTTAAGCCGTAGCTCTGAAGCGTATGGTATAGTATTGTACCGTGCAGCATATAGTATAGTACGTAATATAGAAATGCTACTGTGCACACTGTAGCTATAGAGTATAGCATATAGTATGATGTAGTGGGTATAGTGTAGTATAGTCTAGTCTAGTCTAGTCGAGTCTAGCCTAGTAGAGTATAGTATATAGTATAATATAGAAGTATAGACAGCAGAGTATAGTATAGTATAGAAGAATATAGAAGTATAGAGCCCAAGCCCCTCACACCCTCAAACCCTAAACCCTAAACCCTACACCACCGAGGTTGCAGGAAGACGGCCTCGAGTCCGGCCGCGAAGAGTTGGCCATGTCCATCAAGAACATGCGCAAGGCGCCGTGTGGGGGGGGGGATTGATAGATACGTGGATGTATATTAATCCCTCTCAACATCTAAACGCCTTTTCTGGCTACTGGCTCCGACATGAAATTTTCGATACATGAACCGGACGTTTCGGGATGGGGGTTTTATTATCTAGTATTCAAAGGCATCGTGCCAACTGCTTGCTAGCAGCTGGCATGCGCACGTTTTGTGCTTTGGAATGCGCCCAAAGGTACAGCCAACACGATGATTTCATGCATTGACGTGCAACGTAAGTCAGGCCCAAACATGCCTTAAACCGTTGTACTCCCTGACCCTATAGACTCGACACCCTGAGGTCTTCAAAGGCGGCAAGGTGGCGGTGGATGGGATGGACCTCGATATCCGTCGTGGGGAGCGAGGGGCACCGGGGAGGGTTTGTGGTTTAGATAATGAAGCGCTTAAACCCCCAAAGCCTCAACCGGAAACCAATTACCCTCGAGTCAGAGTTGTCAACCTTGCCTTTGCTTGAATGAGCTAGAAGTGCATCTGCTTTTACGTCTAGATCTGGGAAGGCGCGCGCATAACAGGAGCTTGGGTAGTTTCGTAAATTTGAGCATGCCTTTGATTACCGACAGCTAAGCTGGGGTGTTGAGGCTGGTCATGTCAGCTGAATAGGGTTCTTTATGCCATGCCCCATATACCTCGATTACAACGATTTTCTGAAAGACATTCAAAATGTGAGTGAGGCTAGTTGTGTAAGAGCTGTTTCCGCATGCTTCACTTGCTTTCAGACAGACAGTTCCCTTTGAGAGCAAGACCTTCTCCGTCAGCACCTTCAAAAACCCCATAGCAACCAACCCCAGGGGGTTGAAGGCTGTTGAGCGCTTTCTTGTTGAGGGTCTGTAGGGGCCTTGCAAGCTTATTATCAGTCTATCGTTCAATTCGACATTCTTGCGTTCGTCCCCGAACTACTGCGTTCTGGGGCGTCGGGCACCGGGCTCAGTTCGCCACGTTTTTGGATTCTGGATTGAGGGCTTCCCACTTTGAACCAGAAAACCAGAGCAAAAATGTGTGGGAGGAGATCTTCGCACTCCTGGGACACAACGGCGCTGGGAAGACCACATGCATGAACTGCACTTGGGCAACGTGAGTGTTAGGTGCAGCATTTCGTTGCAGATTGTGCAGAGAGGGTCTTCCCCCTGGCGCCGTTTAAAGATTGGTTGAGTGTTGCTCTTGTTGAAAGTGCGATTGGTAGTTTGGAGCTTGCAGATGCGTCGGCTGCCAAGGTTTTCGGTTTCCTGCACTTGGGCGCATGGAGCCAGCTTGTACAATCAAAACCAATGGCCGTGAACCCTGGCCTCCAAGACCCAACGCGAAACGCAGGCCGCTGAACTTAATGAACTTCGTCTTAGGCGTGGTTGGATTGATTCCGATGACAAGTGGCAGCGCTTCTGTTAGCGGCTACGATGTGCACACGCGCATCGAAGATGTGCGGAGGCAGCTAAGTATATGTCCCCAGGACCGTGCATGGATTTCAGAAAGTTGTCCAGGAGGGGGGCGAGGGGGTTCTCAAATGTTATGTCCTCCTCAGGCGTTTGGGAAGTCAGGGTTAGAAGAAACCGACCAGGACCCCTCAAGTACCCGTTAACAGACACTTTGTGGTCTGTTATAGTAAAGGGTAGTTGGGGGGTCAAGGTACTACACTAACCTAGATCGGCTAGGGAGGCCGGAGTGAGTTTGCAGGACAACCCACTCTACGACGTTTACACGGTGCGCCAGCATCTGCAGCCCCTTTGGCTTCTCCCATCCTTTGAGCCTCGTTGCGGCTTCGGGGGGCTTGTAGCCCCAAGGCTCCACGTGCCCATATATATATATATATAGATAGTGTACTCCTAGTCCTAGGCCCCAAAATGGGTTCCCATGCAGGTGTCTTAAGGCCTGGAAGTATGTATGCTGCATCGGAGTAACATGGAGCCTTGCGGTAGGATTCGCGGACAGGGTCGTGTATGAGTGGGGCAGAACCGAAGGGGTTGATCCAGAGACTGCTGAACAGTGAACAGTGTGTTGGCGACACGGCCAGTCGCTGTAGCAACAGTGGGCTTAAGCTGTGAGGTAAGGCTCCGTATCGGGCCCCTGCCTGGGTTCAGACAGCCCCTGAACATGTACCCTGTACCTCCAGCTGCCCATACTAGACTGTCAGGGGCCCCAGTTGCCAAGGCCCACAAAACACGCCCCTTGGTAAAAATTCCTGGGCCTCTCCCCTGCAACCGGTGTAGAAACCCTGATCAAATCCCTGTAGTATCAGTAGCCCTTATACTTTGTAGTACCCCTCCATAGCAACCTTCATAGAACCCGTTCCGCACCCCTAGGGCCCCAGGATATCCCAGTTTCAGCTGAGGTTCTTCGCGGGCCTCAGAGGCATCAGCTCCCAGCTGCAAGGGGCGAAAGTGATGGAGGTGCTGGTGGCCTTGGGCAGCTCCTCTTGCAATCATCCACCCTGGGTCGAGGGTTTATCTTTTCGAGCTTGGGGTTCATCCCTTAGCACAAAAACACCCTGAGGAATGGAGTAAGTTGGGGCAGATGCAGGAGGATTGGTTGGACGTTGTTGATTGCTCCGGGTGGATGGCTGGGAATCAGCATAGGGCATGTCGCCACCAGTCATTGCACGCAGGATGTTCTGCCAGCAGCAACGAGTCTATAATCATAGGATCTTGGGTTGAACTGAGCAAAGCCGACCTTGTACAGCACATCCAGTAGAAGACTCAGAACACGGAGCCTGCAGCCTTGAACGTCAGGCCATGAAACCATCGAAGTCGGATAAGTGATGACCCACTCTTGCCCATATAAACCTTGAAACCCTGCAACACAAGAGCTGCAGAAACAGCCTAAACCCGAAACCCAAACCCCAA